AACTGCCTAGGAACAGCAGTGGGGTACAATCCACTACATACAGGACATTATTTGGCATAAAGACATAGATGTCAAAGCATAAGCTGCAGTTGGAGGCTTCACATTCTTCATTTCAAGTACAGCAGACAAAGCCTATAGCAAAATATAGGACTAGCCATATCTGAGAAACCACTCCATTGTCTAGCTTGGTGTGCTAGTATTTCTCCCTCCTGACTTTCACTCAGCACCTCTCGTTATTTTAACAGGATAAATAATTAAGAAAGCTAACAGTATACCAGCCATTTTTCTGGCTAGCAGGCCAGGAGGTGCACGGCACCGTGACCTACACAGCCATCAGGAACCAGGACTACGCTTGAGACCTACGGACTGCTGCAAACAAGACACAGGCATTCCACCTTGACTTCACAGCTGTCAAGCTGCATTCTCAAGATCTGCTAACAACACAAGAACATTCTCCAAGCAGCTCTCCCAAAGATTCAGTAAGGTCTTTTCTAACAATCAGTCGCTGGTAAGATGGCAGAGAAGCACTCAGGAGAATCTCGCCACACACAGGGATGAGATTTCTTCAAAAGCAACAGACCCAAAACAGTGCAAAAGGCTTCCACTGCAGCGCTGACCCCTCCTTCCTGCCAGCAGCTTCTTGGCCAGTAATAAAATGAGCAAAAAGGCAACTGCTAGCAAAACAGGAACAAATGGGCAGATGCTGAAAGACAGGAGAGAGATACAAGGGAAATCCTTCTGCAAAATGGAGTCTCATGCAAGCTAAATTCAAAAACGCTCTATTAACAGAAAGTCAGCATTGTGCTACAAATAGAACCTTTCTGCAAAGAGGAACCATGCCACTATTGTTAATCCTGAATGACTTCAAAACTTGGAATTGCTTCCTGGGGTCTGTCCACATCCAGTCACACTGACAACCCCTACAGACAGCACTGTAAATCCTGGGAGCAAAGCGTGCCTCTCAAGCAGAGCAGCCAGCCGCTCCCCCATGGCTCGGACATGGGCTCGGCCCAGCTCTGCACAGAAGGATCAGGCTCAGTGCTGGAGGCCTTACACACTAATGGGTACCAGCAAGGCCATGGGTCAGTGATCTGACTCAACAAAGGCCGTCCCTCTGAAGGTGCTGCGGGGTTCCAGCAGCCGCTGGAGGCCTGGCCAGCAAACAGCACCACAGCAGCTGCTGCTGCCACACCGTCACACGGACGCCTCACTTACCGTGCGATCCTCGAGATACATTGTTTTTGACAGGAAATCAATTCCAATGGTTGCCTGGAAAGAAGAAAAGCGTTAGGAACTGCCTCCCAGGATCTGCAGATCAGATCTTTCTACACAATCTCTAAAGAACGTTCGCTAACTTGTAATTTAGCTGCTGAAGTCATTTGCCCTCAAAAGAGTTGATAAAAACAAAGCAATCTGGGTATCTCCACCATCTCTATTTCACACTATTCTTCCAACACTTCTCAACTCCCAAGATCCTCCAAATTCTAATTTTACCTCCTTGACATTCGTGCATCTCAGCGCAGATCGTATCTGTCCTGTCATCTCCCTCTGCTTTACAGCAATTCGTTCTGGTAACATTTCTCTTATTAGAAATAACCAGAAGGTAGAGCAAATAAATTGTGAGCAACTGTGCTGAAACCTAAAAAGTAACGTTGATTCAGGGCTATCCAACAACAGAGAATGCTCTTCCTTTTTAAGGACAACCAGAAGCTGCACTTCCCAAGCAGTTCTTTCCATCTACCTCCCTCCATTCACATTTCCATTGCTGCACAGACATTCCACTACAGAAACACCCAAAGTAACTTACGAAGTTAGAGGTGTTAAACGTTTGCAGGCATTTAAATCAAGCAGGCATCCCAGCCCATCACAACCCCAGGAAACAAGTGACTGATTACTGAACAGATTTTAGTACAATCTCCAGACTCAAACACGGGCAGCACCACGTGTTCTGGAAGCATCCATTAGAACACGGACCAGCTGATATCAAACCACAGCTGCCAATTTCTGCAGTCAGTAGCTCTTCTCTAGGAGCCCTGTTTTCTGCAGCCAAGACAGCTCACAACAAGATAAACCCTCCAGAGCACCTAACAAGGGTTAGGAATAAAAGCACACAAAGCACAAGTGGATCTGGTTTCAGTAAATGACTCGCCCTCCAGAAAACCACCTTCTCTGTTACCTTCCAGCTTGAAATTACTCCAACTGAAACCAATAACTCTTCCTGGCCTGCATTAAAAGAGGCCACCACAGTCTCATCTTCCTCAAAGACATTCAGCACTCCTTTGAAATACCACTAAGCCATTTTGTTTCAGCTGACTCTTCCCAAGATCTCTGCGCCTCCTACACACGCTGAGCTTCTCAGTCTGAAGTCTCTCCATCCCTACCCTGCTCTCTCCTTGCCAAAATTTCCCTGACTTTTTCTATCTATACCCTTTCAGCTAAAAAACAAGACATACATTTAAAAACTAAAAAGAGAGAGACTCAGAGAGAAAATACACCACGTAGACTTCTTGGGGGCCCATCCATGTAGTCTGGACTCAACTACTATTTTAACAGGACGTCTATAAAGATAGCAGAGACCAAGAACTATCAGAAGCACGAGTGTACCTTATTCCCCATTTCCTGATGCTCATACTGACCTTCACTCATCCTCACCATTGTCTTTTTTGTTCACTGATCCCATAAACCAACGTTTCTCTTTGCTTTCCTCCAAGTTCTCCAACACCCAAACAGGATCTAAACCTCACAGCTCTCCTGCTCACTGCACACCCTGATAGCACACTGGGACTGAAACCCAGTCTGATCTACGTTTCAACTCGCACTACAGTCTCGTGTATGATACTCAATTGATACCTCGTGGAGACGTGCACAACAGGAATGCATTTTAGTAGTGGAAAACAGATGTGTTCACAGAGGAGTGTCTACCACATACCTGGTAAGTATTGTCGAAACTGTCATACATAAACCTGGTGATCAGAGAGGTCTTCCCAACTATAAAAGAAGAGGCAAAATTACTTTCAAAGAGCAGTGGAAGAACCTGCTGGTCAGGATTCACACACTGGTACCACTGACTGCCAGAATGACATTGCCAACATAAGGCTACTTCCCAGCTACTCCCACCTGGGAAATAACCAGCTGAGAAATTCATTCATGAGATAATAAGTGAGCACTAAGTCAAAGGAATCTAAGAAAAAACCTAATCACTATGGAAACCTGACCCTCAATTTAGGTATGTTATGATGAGAACAGCATAGAGCTGCCTGTTTGCTTTGAGCAAGCAGTAAATCTGCTTTGTTATTCATATTTGGGCACTTATGTAATCACCAAGTCTGGGACTCCCAGATGCAAGCATCAAAAGCTGACACAGTGTTGCCTTGGACGTTAATTAGCTGTCACTAGCTCTACAGAAAAGCAACGTTTAATACTGAGATCATTTGTCCATAAATGATATTTAGATATAAGGTAAACTCTTGGAAAGGGTAGATAACAGCAGGGCAAGGGAAATGGTTTTAAGTTGAAGGAGGGAAGACTTAGGTTGGATGTCGGGGGAAGTTCTGTACTAGGAGAGGGGTGAGGTGCTGGAACAGCTGCCCAGAGAGGCTGTGATGCCCCGTCCATCCCTGGAGGTGTTCAAGGCCAGGTTGGATGGGGCCCTGGGCAGCCCAGGCTGCTGTGAAATGTGGAGGTTGGTGGCCCTGCATGTGGCAGGGGGTTGGAGCTTTGTGATTCTTGACGTCCCTTCCAACCCGGGCCATTCTGTGATCCTGTGAACTTTGATAGCTTGCTTAAAAAACGCACATATCCAAATGTCACCAAGAGAAATAGTGCAAGGACTGATGAGAACGGGAACCAAAGATCCCTGATTCTCTTGGGAAGCTGCAAAAAACACAGACAGAAGGGAGGAAAGAAAAGGAATAAGCAGCTGCAGAAAGCAGCGAAATGGTGAGCGCCAGCAACAGGAAGGCAAGCACCTGTCAGCAGCAACATGGATCCCGCCTCGCTGAGGCAGCTCAACCTGAAAACTTCTGGAAATTCCTGCAAGACGCAGTCCTGCGGTCGAGGAGACGATAAATACGGGAGAGCGACACAGACGGAGCACCCCGATTTCAAGAAAATAACGCAAGTCATCCACGCACCGTGAGGGCAGGGGCACGAAACAGAGCCGGCGTCCGGCTGAAAGGAGACCGACGGCAGTCGCAGCGCAGCCGCGGGCGGTGAGGCGATGCCGAGCCCTCCCTGCCCACCGACCCACCGACCCACCGACCCCCCGGCCGGGCCTGGCCCGACCCGCCCCGCCACCCCCGGTTCTCCCCCCCCCTCCCCTCCCCTCCCGCTCCGGCCGCCGCCCCGCCGGCCCCGCCCCGCCTAACGGCACCTCAGCACCAGGCCCAACCCCCGCCCCGCTCACCGCTTTGCTCGCCCAGGAAGACGAGCTTGAACTTCCGCAGCGGGTTGCCGAACTCGCCGCCGCTGCCTGGGGCGGACATGGCGGCGCGGAGAGGCCGAGCCGGAGCCGTGACTGAGGAGAAGAAGAGGCCGCCGAGCACACACCGGCACCGCCGCCCCGCCCGCCGCGCCGCGCGTCACTTCCGCCGCCGCGATGGCGTCACTTCCGCCGCCGCCGCGATGGCGTCACCGACGCGGCACAGCGTCACCTGGCGGTGGGCGGCGGTCTCGAGCCCACCCCCGTTGTAGCGCTCCTACAAAACGACTCTGTTTCTCGTTTCGCGTCGGTTTATTTATAAACACGCCGAAAACATCGCGTCATTCTGGCCGGTGACAGGCGACACGGCGCTCGGGGCCGCTGCTGGGCCGTGCGAGCGCCGGAGCTCCGCGCTCAGGGTGGGCGGTGGGACAGCCCGATAGCAGCGCCGGGGCAGCGGGGCAGCTAGGGGGCACAGTGGGGCAGAGCGGGGCAGCTACGGGGCACGTGGTGCTGAGGGCGGGCAGGGCTGCGGGGTGCTGTGGGGGTACGGCCCCCCGTGCCTCTGTCTGCAGACAGCTCAGCTCTCCTCCTTCTCGCCTTCCTCCTTCTCGTCTTCATCGTCTTTTTCTCCCTTGAGCTTCTGGCGAGCGAACTCCTCGATGACGATGTCCTCCTCGCTGCAAGGAGCGCGGTGAGGTTGGAACGATTGAACCCCACCCCAAATCCGGCTCCCCCTGCAGACGCCCTGCGGGCGTGCAGCCCAAACTGGAGCTGGGGAGCCGGGGGAGGGCCAGCAACTTTGGGGGGTTTAATTCAAGGCAGTGTTTTACGGTGTCAAGGGGAAAAAGGAGGGGAAGGGAGCTACAATGGTGACAAAGGGATTCGTTACCTCCTTGCAAAAGGCAAGCGGATGACAGCAAGGGAGAGCCACAAAAGGAAAAGATGGAAATGAAGAGTCAGCAAAAACAATTCCAGGAGTGTGTGATTATGAAACGACCTGGGGAAATCTATGGGCTGTGATGGTGGGGGCAAACCAACAGCTTTTCTTCTCTGTAAGCCTCTGTGTCCTTGCTGAGCTGAGGCAGTGCTGCAGACTGAGTTTCCAGGCTCCACACCCCCATGTAACACCCTGCACTGGGGCACGAACCAGACACAGAAGCAGGGTCTGGGAGCTGTGAGAGCTGTGGGGCCGGCTGGTAGCAGTGGCTGCCATGAATAGGCCTACATCCTATTGCCTGTGCCATTGTAGCGGATGCCGTGCTGCCTGCTGTGACACGTGCACAAGGCTTGCTGGCATGGATGTTCTAATTTAAGAGCACCTCCATTACCCACAATGGAATATCTGCGATGGGTTTACACAATTTGCGTGTTGGAGGAAATGCAGTCTGAGGTGTAAGTAAACTTACCTTGGTTTATCTGTGTAGTCCATTTGTAAGCACAGCGTGGGAAGGCAAGGATTGAAATAGAGATGTTTATAGTTAATAAAGAAATGACATTCAACAGGCATCTCAATGCTCAGGTGCTCTTCTGGACAGCCTGCCATGTGTGGGCGGCAGCAGGGAGCAGAGCTGCTCCTCCAGCACGCTGTCTGGTCCTGAGCAGCACGTGGCTGATGAGTCACATGTGCCTCATTTTCTGGGGCACTTCATCCAGCCGTTGGGACTTTCCAGAGCCATCAGTCCTATCAGTTCCCCCTTGAATAGGAACTACATTTTCTTCCCTGGTGTTTCGGCAGCATGTCAGGTGCTACTCACCATCCGCAGGCTTCGGGTGCATCAGGATGATGGGCAGCTCAACACCGACATCACTGGAAGCAGAAGCACTTCCTTCAGTGAACCCACCCAGTGCTGCACGATGCTGGCCCCGGCTCTGCACTGTGCTGGCACTGAGCGCTGTGGGCAGCTCCCTCCTTACCTGGATGTGAGATCCCCCAGGATGCTTTGGCCATGGAGATAAAGGAAAGAAAGCAGCAAAGGAAGAAGAGAAGGGTGTCGGTTTTTTAGCTTTGAAATAAAATGCTTTATAATAGGTGAAGGGCAGTAGTGGTGGAGACGAAGAGGATGATGTGGACCTCAGCTGCCTCCACAGTCCTTGGAAATGGGCAGGGAGAAAGGAACCCACAGCATGAGCTCCTTCTCATTGCATCCATCCCCTTGTCACCAGCTCAGTTGTACAAGACCCCAACGCACGACCCAAGAGGTGTCCTTGCCACCATGCCCAAAGAGCTCACCCTCCTCGGGACACCACCAGGTTGACCTTCACTTTATAGGACACCAGGATCCCCAGCACCTCCTTGTCCATGCCAGGTCTCAGGCTAGGAGAGAGGCAGAGCAGAGCTGTGACATGCAGCCAACCTCATGACCCCCAGAGCAATTGTACTGGTGTGGGGTGCACTAGATTGTACTGCAAAGCAACGTAGCGGACAGAGAGAAGGGAAGGGTGATCTGTGGCTGAGGCCACAGCTTCTGGAGGCCACTTGAGGTGCCTGAGCTGAGATTTGCTCTGATGCAGAGGCTCTTACATGGTGGTGGAGGCCAGGTTGGTGTCCTCGTGCTTGAGCTTGCCGTCAAGAGCCAGGCCTCTCTTCTCCCGGTTGGTCGAGAGCGTGGGGGTGACAGAGTATGTTTTGGAGAAGGTGGAGTTGGCTGCCACATTCTCACTAGAAGGGTTAGGAGAGGAGAGCTCAGAGCCAGCACCCAGCACCCCCTGATCAGTGCTCAGCACCGTGCCAGTGTGACGTCCTTCCCACCCCATCCTCCCCTCCCTTGCAGCTGCCTGGGCTCATTTCCTCCTTTTGTTCCTTCCCATGACCACTTCTTTTTTTCTGCCTTCCCATCTTTGCTCTGTCACTCCTCTTTTTCAGGAGCACAGAGACCTCGTCTGACTGCGGCTGGGCTCAAGATGCAAAACGGGGAGAGGAAGCAGCCTGGGGGCAGCTGTGCACCTTTCCCCAGGGACGTCCCCAGGCTCAAGCTGGACTCTCAGTGTCTGCAGCCTTCCCTCTCCTCCGCTTCCTCACATCTGCACTTCTAACCTTGTTCTTGCTCAGTGTAAAACCATCATTGCCACCAGCTTCTCTTTCTCCCCCTCCCTCCTCTCCCCAGCTCTGTTTGCCAGCTCCTTTTTACTCACTTGATCTCCTCCATGCACACAGTCTTTGAGTATTTGTCCAGTGAATAGAGAACCACATCTGTGATCTGATCAACTGGAGGCACACAGGAGGGAGCAGCGTTGGCATGGCGGCAGAGACCCAGGCCCACATTCCCCCTCTCCAACCCAACACAGGGGTTCTGGGACAACTCCTCTCACCTGCAATCTTAATTTTTTTCACGATCTTGTTGGTGGTGTTGTTGATATTGACAGTCACGTTGATGGGTTCTCCATGGTAGTAGATCTGCAGTCAGAAAAAGCTCAATTACGTGGCCAGCAAATGGGGTTGGGGCTGAAGAAGTCCCGGTCCCCATCCCTGGGAACACACATGGTAGCAGGAGCTGGGAACAGCCCCCCACTGACCTCCTTTTCCAGGGTGGCCTCGAGGTGCAGGGGCTTGTCAGACATCATGAACTGCCGGGTGGTCTCTGACTTGGGCCCTGGGCCTGTCTTCAAAGGTGCAAACTGGATCTTGCGGATGACGAGGCGCACTGAGTTCCTGCAGGGCGAGAAGCTGTCACCCCCTGGCCTCCCTAGGCACGCATAGCTTGTCTATGGGGGCACCTCAATTCCTCCATTCAAACAGTGCAGTCTACAGGCTGCTCTGAGGATGGGGTAGACACAGGCATAGGGACTGTCACCCTTCCTTTAGGCAAAGTCCCCAACCCAAGCATGACACGAGCAGGCATTGCAGCCTTGTCTCAGCTCCGGAGGTGATCACCCCCAAATGGCTCAGTTGTTCAGTTTCAGGGCAGTGGAAATGGATGAGGGTTCCCCTCTATTTGAGGGGAATACATACCGCTTGTGAATCTTCTCCTCCAGGTTTTCAGCACAAAACCCTTTGACCTCGAAGTCCACGCCACAGGCCTGGGAGGACACGTTGGGTTACAAAGAGGCTCTAAGCTGCACGAGGTTCAGATTTGTTCCCCTCCTTCCCCCAGCACATCCCTGCAGATCCCAGCCCTGCTTCCAGCTGTCCATCCCTTCCAACCTCTTCCCCATGAGAGAGAAACAACCTGGAGACAGGCTGGGACAGCATCTGACCTTTCCCACGTCATCCGGTCCCGGCTGGAGGGTGACTGAGCAGGGCAAGTTGGTGGCAATCTGGGCAGAATAGAGACAGAGCGCAGACAGAGAGCGTGCCCAAGGATGATCCCCATTGAGACGCGTGGTTGGGAAGCACCAAGCAACCCTTACCTCAAAGGTGAAGGGGTAGGCGTTCTCACCAAGCTTCTTCAGCAGCTTCTCCTGCAGAGAGGTGAGGGTTTTGGGCACCTGCTCAGGCACCGGTGGGAAGATCTGAGTGGTCAGGACGTAGAGGTCCTTCCTGAAGGTCAGTCCAATGACATCCAGGTCGTCTCGGCCGTAGCGAAAGGCGCACGTGAGTGTCACATAGACTGAGGCCAGAGTGGGTGAGAATGGAGGGGAGCGAGGAGGGAAAGGCGCAGGGAAGGGTTGGGAAAGGAGGAAAGAAACACAAGGTGTGTTTGTATCTTATTGGCATTGAAAGCAGATCTCAGACTCCAAACATAAAGTTAATGAGATTCATCAGATCTCTTCAAGGCATGGCTACCTACAGGGGTTGTGTCCCTGCCCTGCGTAACATGGGTTTTTGTGCCTTAATACCTTTTCTGTCCTTCAGGTATTCCGGGTCGATGAGGCAGACGCCATCTGCAAATAACGGGAGAGAAGAGGTGGTGAACTGGGTGTGCTGGAGAGAGGGAAGGTCCTTGTGAGAATGCTCTACAGTCAAAATGCTCAGACAGGAGGAGGCCAGGAGAGCTGCCTCCAGGGGACCTGCCTGCATGGGGATGGTGTCCCTTCCTTCAGCATCTCCACCCCCAGGGCTTACTTGCAAAGGAATTTTGCTTTGTAAGTACTGCTTTAAAGATATTTGTAGGAAAATGAGGTGTTTGCTCCTCTGGAGTTGCCCTCACTCCTCCCTCCACACAGAGTAATGGTCGAGGCCACTCACTGCCAACTGCACCCTGGGAACCACACTCACCCACGGCGTCCACCGACTCCACGTGGTCCACAAAGTCCCTCTTCCCCAGGTAGATGGACAGCTGGAGGAGCCCATGGCAAATGGAAACAACACATCAGGTCAGTGGGTGCTGAGCTTTGTGATGCTGCAGGTGTTTGGTGTGAAGGAGCAGGCATCGCATCGCAGGAATTGCGTGTGTTTCTTAAAACACTTGTTTTGAAAAGTGACCCCAGTGATGGCACCACAGCAGGCATAGGGGAATCAGGAGGTTGCAGAGGGAATGGCAACCTGGGCTGCGTCCCCTGTCCCCCACGCTGAGGCCCCCGCAGCCTCACCATTGGGCACCGCCAGCTCATGTGCACTGGGGACAGACCCACATGTGCCTGATGGACTCACCTTCCCATTGGGACTGGTCTTCTTGAATACCCTGCAGGAAAAGCACAGAACAGTGGTGAGGCTGGGGGCAGCGCTGCTCTCTCCCCCTAGAGGAGCATCCTCAGAAGCTGTGCCCAGGCAGGCAGATATGTCCCAGCCTCGGGATTCGGGCTTACTTTGATCCTTCTGCCATTGTAAGTCAGGTGCCACACAGCCGGGAACCTGCAGGGAGAGATGGGGGAAATGCTGGAGATGGGAACAGGAGCCCCATTGGCCATCACCAGCAATGGGGACTCAATGGTTCGTGTGCCAATGCTCTGCAGAACCCTTGGCAATGGCCCTCCTGGGGGTTGGCACTGTGAGCAGCACGGCTGGAGGCTTAGCAGGGCTCAGATGCTCTATTTGCATCCAGAGCTGCCATGCTCTCTCAGGACCTTATGGGGTTGGGGGTTCACCCCAGTGATGGAGCTGCTGGAGACTGCAGCTGCTGGGAATTTGCTGCCATCACCTGCAAGGAGGAACATACTCACTGTGCTCACTCACAAGACAGTGAGGAAAACCATGGGCAGGGGAGCCCAGTGCCATTCAGAGCCCCATCCCACACTCACCAACAGCATCAGGGCCAGCAGTGGGACAGGACTGAGCTCCCCTCGGGGGCTGCTGCTTTTTGCTTGATCAACATCAGCGTCCAGAATTAAACGGCAAATGTCTCGCTGATTGTTGGCTGATTTGTGGGGAGATCAGGAGGGATGAGCTCTGCTTCTTAAACTTAGGCAGCTCTGACATTAGCTGGGCTTAAGGCCAGGCAAGATTTTAAGCCCCAGGAGCGCGTGGGCAGAATCACCCCTTTATGTAACCAGTGATGGTGGAGAGAAGGGAAAAGGCGATAGAGAGGGAGTGGAGGGAAGATGATGATGTTCTTCCCCATGGGAAAACAAAGCGTCAGTCCCAAGCACGGGCTCTGGAATGGCCTCAGGTGGGCTGTGGGTCTCAGACATAATCCACAGATTCCTTGGGAACAGCAGGTTGAGGTGCTGAGGGAGCACGATTTGCGTGATGGGGAAAGGGAGGATGAAAGTACAGAAAGGAGAGAAGAGCTGAAGCCTTCCTTTGTGTGCCAGAGCTCCGAGAATCAGCACTGGGATTCCTGGCTTGGCCAAGTCCTCCTGCACTAAGGATGCCTACACCCATACTGAAACCCACCCAGCTGCAGGCTGCCCTCCTTCCAGCCACCACTCAGCCATTGACATCCCTGCCCGTTCAGCACAGCAGCGCTCACCTGGGGTTGGATGCACGTTCTCTTCTTCCTCTCCTGCTTGTCCTGCTGCCACCTGCTCACCACTGCTGCTCCCAGCTCTGTGGCCTCTTATAGCCACCTGCTCCCACCCCGAATCTCGCCCACCAGGCTTTGGCCGGGGGTGTGCCATGTGTGCACTATGGGAGAGGTATTTTGGGGCTGCAATCCTATTAGTTTCTTAACCAGGGAGATGCTTTGTGAGTAAGAGTGGGCTATAAATGGGGTGGTGGCTGGAGCCCTGGGAAAGCAGATTATGGAGATTGGTAAAGCTTAGGAGTGAAGTGATGATAATTGGGGTGGAAGCGCCTGGCAGGCAGAGTGCAGGCAGGGTGCAGGTCCTCACATGGTGGTGGATGGGATCAGCAGAAGGGAAGGAAGGGGCTTCCCGGTTGGATTCCTCCCTTGTGCACTCTGTGGGGCTGCCATGATGGGGCCAGGCACCTCCTAAATCCTGCTATGGGTATGGGACAGCTTGGGAAGGACCTTGAGCCCCTCAGGACCCAGAATCAGTCCCTGGGCAGTGAGCGGTGGGTGCATCCCTGCCACCTGGTCCTGCCCTCAGCACACAGACACATGGTGGTGGGAGAATAGGAACCAAAGAGAGAAGGCCCAGGAACAGTGGTTCACGAGATGATGGTGTGAACACACCCACGAGGGCTGCTCCCTCACCAGTGGTCATTTCATAACGCTGCAGGCTGGCCTCACTTTACCCAGTTAACATGTTGTTAATTCAGGGTGCTCAGCTGCAAATAAGAAAACTGGGGAAGTACCAAGTGGGTCCATGTTGGGGACTGCCGTCCCACAGTGTGGGGACACGCACACGGGAGGTGGGGATGGACCACCCCACAACCACCCCACTGAGCACACAGCAGTGCGGGGCTGCAGCTGCCAGCACGTGCTGACCAGGTCCAGGACTTGTGATCTCTTTAATTGCACACACAGAGCTGCTTACGCTGCAGATTAGCAGGCACTATTTCTGCCAAGGGCAGAGGCCACGTGAACTGTGATCTTCCCAGTGGTGGAGGTCTGGGTGCAGCCTTACCTGGGTGCCTGCACGCGTCGGTGTGACTGCAGCACAGGTAATGGGACACCGGGGTCCGCAGCCCCGTGTTTGGATTGCTGGGCGATGCCCTTCTCCTGTTTGATGAATGGCACGAAGCCTTACCTGCAGGTCCCCACACTGTGTGCTGCTCCACTCACGCACAGCCTGCTGCAGGGCAGGCTGGCAGACAGACAGCAATGATTTCCCAAAGCCCCTGGCAGCGTCGTGCCTTCCTGCCCTGAGCTGGATTAGGTGCTGTGGTCAGCACTAATCCTGCCTGCCGCCGGACCTGCAACCACAGGAATGGTTAAGTAACAGCTGAAAGCAACACTGGTGGGAGGGGGTCTCCAGGTGGTGGAGTCCCCAGTCACTGCCCAATGCCATGCAGCTGTGCTTGGGACAGCTGAGGGATGGGAATGCCACCAGCCCGTAGCTGATATCCCCAAACCAGGTGGTGGCCCTTGAGGTGACCAGGTTCCTTCTCGGTGCCAGGAGCTCAGGGGATGCCTTGGAGAGGTTTGTGCAGAGGGTGGTGGGGATGTCCTTGTGCCTGCTGCTGCTTGCTGCAGGGGGTGCCCACGTGCTGGTCTTGTAAACTGCCCAGAGCAAATCGTGAGAAGAGCAGGGAGGAACCAGGCTGGCGTGGGTGGTGAAGCCCCCATCCCATCTCTCCTGCAGCAGATGGTGGCTGCAGCTTGTCTGTAATTAACAGTGCCGTGGTGCTAATCACCCTAACGCAGCCTTGTTGGCAGCTGCCCCGCGCAGCTCTTGGCACGTGGGGTCTGCTTACTGCATGCCACGAGGAGCAAAACTTCAGTGTGATGGTCCCCACGCCCTCCCTGAGCCCATTGCTTCCCCTCTTCCTGAAGCCAGGGCACCCCTGAACAGGATGAGTGAATGCAGCACTGGGTACCTACTTTTCTCACCCACCCAATGCCCACAGCATCACCATCTCTGCATGGCTGGAGCTCAGCCCCACACTGTGTGCAGGCAGCCCCATGTGCAGGCATCCCCATCACTGCCAGCCCCGGCACAGCACAGCGATGCCGTGCAGCCCTCCATCCCCTCCGCTGGGTACAACTGTGGGGTGGGGTCTGGGATTGCATGGCAGCAGGGTGGTGGTGCTTGGGCAGCCCCCATTGTGCTCGGGGCCCAGCATGGCTGCCGGCTTCCTCCTGCCAGCAGGGCTGGAGTGGGAGGAGGAGCGAGGAGGCTGTCCCAGATGTGGAGCGAGCAGAGCGTTAAGGAAGAAGGGTGTGGGCAGGCGCAGCAGTGCAGAGCGGGGCTGTGAGAAATGGGCTTGGCTGCAGGGGACAGGCGGTGGAGGCACAGGGTGTGCAGTGCCATGTCTGCAAGAGAGGGTGAGTACTTCTGGTGACCTACGGGATCCCACGTGCTGCCGGGATGTCCGTGTGGCCTCATGCTCGTGGTGCAGCAGGGCAGGACGCCAGTGGGGTGATGCTGCCGCGGGTCCCTGATCTGCCCCTCTGTGCTCCCCTTCACTCTGCAGGCTGCAGCCACCCATGATGAGGAGCACCCGGACCCCCAACTTCACCCCACAGCCCCCCCAGCCCCACTCCTGCTGCACCTCCCAGCTGGGGAGATCAGTGCGGGGCACCCTGTGAGCAGGAGCTGCACATCGCCCATCGGGACCCACAGCCTCCGGGCCCCCACCTTCCCCTTCCACGGCAATCAGCCCATGTTGGGTGAGGGACACAACGCAGTGCAGCTGACATTGTGCCACCCACGAGGATGGCAGCAGCAAGCTGGTACCACCGGGACATCAGCAGGGTGGTGGCCGAGGAGCTGCTGGCCAAGGCTGGGCGCGATGGCTGCTTCCTGGTGAGGGACAGTGAGTCCATCGCAGGGGCGTACGCCCTGTGCCTCCTGTGAGTTCTGCCTTGTTTCTGCACTTGGCTTCTTTCTTGTCCCCGGTCCCTGCAGCAGGGTGGGGGGGATGGAGCGGAGCGACAGCAAGGCAGGGCTGGGGTTGCAAATCATTCGACAGCAAAAAGGATGTGTGCAGGGTGCAGCCACCACTTCTGCTTTGCTCGGCAATCAGTGATGGGGCTTTTTCGGTGATGCCCAGCTCAGTGTGAGGTGGGGGGCCCTGCAAGGCTCCCACCCCAAATCCATGGGTCAGCATGCTGTGCCCTATGGGGCTGCTCACATTCAGGTGCATCTGGGTGCTTGCCTGGCCCCTGCGTGGGGTGGAGGAAGCGGCCAGCACAGCTCACTCTGTGTGAATACAAACATCCCCTCTGCGTCCAGCCTCTGGCGCGCCAGCATCCGGACCACAGTGACTGCTATTAACTTCTCAGCTGCCAGTTTGAGCAGCCCCAGCACCTAAATCACTGCTGCTGCTGGAGGCACAGGGTTGGGGCTGAGGTGGACCTCCACTACAACTGAGGGACATACTGCCCAGATGTGTTGGAGATGCACAGACAGTGCTTCTGCGGGTTTAGAAGGATGCCCCCCAGTTCCCTATGGCTTTCCTGGCCAGGTGCATGGTGCGAATGGCAAACACATGGTGCTGGGGAGCATGGGCTATGGGGAGGGCAGAAGGTGACAGCTTCATTACCTGAAGCAGGAGCTCAGTTCCTCTATGTGCAAAGTGCACAGGGTGCAGATGCTCTGCTCTCCTGTAGGTTCCAGCGGCACGTCCACACCTACCGCATCCTGCCCAACGATGAGGGGCTGCTCTCCGTCCAGGTGAGTGCAGGAAGCAGTGCACAGGGAAGGGGGGCATTCACCCCCACCTCCAACTTCTGCACAGCACACGGCGAGGTGCAGCCTGCAGCTTCCCGCACGTGGTGAGCGGTGCGGTTTGCTTTTTGCATAAGTGCAACAGCACAGGATGTGGGAGCTCTGCACCGACCCTTTCTGCAGTGCAGCCGCCTGGGAGCGATGCCACTTGGGCAGCCCCATGGCCGCCCACTGCTGCTGCTCCTGGGGGAGGCTTTGTGAAAATGCTGTCTCCTGTCTGCCGCTATCCCTGCTGTGAGAGCGTGCAGCGCATCCCCCATTGCCCACAATGAACGTGGCTGGAGGCACCTGGCTTGTGGATGGGGTACATGGTGGCCACCGTCCCCTCTGCCCCCCCCAGACCATACAGGGTATCCAGGCCAAGTACTTCCGCAGCCTCCCTGAGCTGATCAGCGCCTACCAGCAGCCCAACAATGGGTTGGTGACACAGCTGCTCTACCCTGTGCACCAGCTCCGGGAAGCAGCTGATGAGGACTCTGGTGAGGGCATGGGGGCAAAGGGTTGGGGCTGCCGGCAGAGAGGTGATGGCGCTGAGCTGGGATCTGTGCCTGCAGATGGAGAAGATGGAAGAGGTGGCCATGTTGGCAGCATGGTGCCCACCAGGGTTAATGCAGAGAGCACAGGGCCTGGTGCTCCCCCCACCCGTCCCCACATCTCACAGCAGCTGCAGCTGAGGCTTCAGGAGCAGATCCACAGCAGGTAATGCACCGGGGTGGGCACAGCATAGCAGGATGGAAGTGGCACATCCCAAAAATGCAAGACCAAGAGGATGCCCTTAAGGGTGGCTGCCCACATCCAGCCCTGCTCATGCTGGAGCTGGAGCAGGGCACAAGATGCCTTTCCCTGTGGTTTGCAAATCCCGAGCTGAGGCTGGCACCTCTCTGAGCCTGGGTACCTCCGTTCCCAGCCACTGCCCCCCCTTACAGCCCATCCAGTGACTTCATGGGCTTCATGGCTGACTACCTGACACAGCACCTACCACTGGACCTGGCTGCACTGCACAGTGGGCACCCGCATCTGCGCCATCTCAGTGCTGCTCTCGTCACCGCCTGCCGGGGGCTGCACAGGTGAGTGGCACAGGATGGCAGGAGGAGGGCAGGGCTGAGGGACCGCCTGCTTGTCCCTGTCCCTGTGCATCTCCAGCTCTCATGCTCCTCTGTCTCTCTGCAGTGAGATCGACTTCACGCTGGCGGGGCTGGAGATTCTGGCCAGAGTGTTCGAGCCTCCTGTGTCCCCACGCTGCCCGGCCAGAGAGCAGGTGAGCCCTGCAGGCTCATCCCACTCCAGGAGCTATGGGTGGTTTTGGTGTCTGAGGGTGCTGCACGCCTTGTGGTGCTCTCTGAGCACAAAGGAGGGGATGAGGTCCCCACTGGGGACAAGGAGTTATGTGCTCCCAGTGCAGGAGGGGGCAGCAGGTCCCTGCCAGCCTTGGGCACACCTGAACACAACACCAGCACCAGTCCTCTTCTCCAGGGTTTCCTGGCCAGCAATCCTGACCTGGAGCTGCTCCTCAGCAAGATCTCAGCTGTCAACCACCTGCTCTCATCACTGGAGAAGAAGGTGCCCACATGCTGCCAGCTCCTTGCTGTGCTTGGCCGACTGGTCAGCTAATTAATCCCTCCAGCACATTGCTGCTCAGCTGCACAGCCACGCACCCCTGGCCTTTCCCCATGCGTAGGGCCCCTTACCCCATACTCCCAGTGACAGCATCTCTCCAATCTGGGTACCTCAGCCACCCCCAGGCTGTCACCCACCATGTCCCCATCTCTCACTCCTCCTGCTGGCAGGTCCTCGTGTCACTGCAGGAAACGGTGTCACGACACAACCTGGCACTGCCCAGCCCTGCAGCCCTGCCTCCAGACACCAAGCCCATGGCCACACAGTGCTTTGAGGTGAGGATAGGGGACACAACATGGCCCCGGCGTCTTTGTCACCCATGGGTGGGGGCTGACCCAGGAACCCCCCCTGTCCATGCTGCAGGTGAAGGTGGGCAAGTCGCAGCGCGCAGCCCTGACAGTGGATGTGGAGGAGGGCACAGTGAGCATCACCAAGAGGGGCAGTGGCTCCCCAGAGGAGGTCATCCCACAGGACAAAAGTAAATGGATGCTGCCCCCCAGTTCTCTGCATGAGGCATTTGCTGGGCTGGGCCTGACTCCATGGCATGGGCTGCACACCGAGCTCTGTCCCATGCCATGTGCTGTCACACAGGATGTCCCCCTGTACCCCTCATGCCCCACATTCAGTCCTGCAGCTAATCAAGTACCAGAGCGTGCAGAGCAAGGTGAGGCTGGTGTACAATCGTGACCTGCAGAAGAGCCTGAGCAAGGACTTCATCTTTCCCAGTGCAAAGGTGAGCAATGCAGGTGGCTTTGTGGGGTGATGTCCCCCAGCCTCTCCCCCCAACCTCCTCAGAGAGGCTGTTTTGGGAGCACAGAGCCATTATTTAGCCGTGCAGGGAATAGGTGCTCTTGAGGTCAAGGCCAGCCCTCTGTTAGCTCTGGCACCTGGGTGCTCTTATCCCCCTGATCCTGTCTGCTTTTGAGGCTTCTGTGCTCTCCTATACCTGGGTCCAGCCCTGAGCCCTGTATGCCCTGAGCCCCCTGCGTTGCTCCCAGAAGCGAGAAGCCTTCTGCCAGCTGCTGCAGCTGATGAAGATCCAACACTCCAACCTGGATGAACCTGACCTCATCTCGGTTTATGTCGGGACGTGGAACATGGGTAAGTGACCTCCATGAGGTCATGTCATCCTGGGGGATCTTCACAGCCCACTGCAAACCTGGGACGGTTTGGAAGGGTCTGCAGGGAGCTGCCTTAGGACAGGCAAGGTGTGAGCTGGTCCTCAGTGGGAGGGAGAGGCTGTAGAAGTCCCCATCATGGCCATTCGTGGTTTGGAGTTTGCTTGCCCCATTGCTGTTGGAGACATGAGTACCTGGAGGGCTTTGCAGGTCTGAGATGGGCATGGGTGGACCACGGTGCTGGTGTGATGCTTCCCATCCCCAGCAGGTACTGGGGTGGAGGAGGGTGCGAGGCAGTCACTTGCTGTCCCCATCCCCAGGCAGCACACCACCGCCCCGCTCCCTGGCCTCCTGGCTGACCTCGAGGGGCCTGGGACACACACAGGACGAGACCACTGCCTGCATCCCGCACGACATCTACGTCATCGGCACACAGGAGAACTCCCTGGGTGACCGCGAGTGGGTCGAGTTCCTGCGCGCGTCCCTGAAGACGCTGATGGCCATCGACTACCGAGTGGTAATGAGCAACTTCTGGGGATGCTTTGCCTTCCTGCAATGTGGGAGGTGGGCTGACTGCCCCGTCCCGCAGGTGGCCCTGCAGTGCCTCTGGAGCATCAAGATGGTGGTGCTGGTGAAGCCAGAGCACGAGCGGCGCATCAGCCACGTCCACACCTCCAGCGTCAAAACAGGGATTGCCAACACTCTGGGTAAGGAAGAGATGGGGATACTGAGCTGGGGGGGCTGCCCCAGGGCACCTCCACGCCCCTGAGCTCGGTGTTCCCACAGGGAACAAGGGGGCTGTGGGTGTCTCCTTTCTTTTCAACGGGACTTCCTTCGGTTTTGTCAACTGCCATTTGGCCTCGGGCAGCGAGAAGACCCACAGGTGATGGGGACACCGTGGGCTGGTGTGGGGTTGCCCCATCCCCCTCCTGCCTCAGGGGCAAGGGGTGGCCCCACGATACCCCGCAGTGGTTGACACGTGGCTGCCATCCCCTCCGCACGGCACAGGCGGAACCAGAACTACAGTGACATCCTGCGCTCGCTGGCACTGGGCGACAAACGGCTCAGCGCCTTCGACCTCACGCTGCGCTTCACCCACCTCTTCTGGTTCGGGGACCTCAACTACCGCCTGGATATGGATGTGCAGGTGTGCATCTGTGGGGAGCTGGGCTCAGGGTGTCAGCGCCAGTGCTCACTGCTCCTCCTGTGCCTGCTCAGGACGTCCTGACCCATGTCACTAAGAAGGAGTTTGACATCCTCCTAGCCATGGACCAACTCAACATGGAGCGGGAGAAGAACAAGGTGTTCCTGCAGTTCCGTGAGTGTGGGGCTGCTGGGCTGCTTGCTGCCTTCCCAGTGGAAGCCAGGGACTTCCAGCTCTCTGCCAGTGCCACCTCCAGCACTGTGTCCCTGCACGGCTCTGTGCGAGCTGCCGAAAACCTGGGGAAAGTCATGCGCATCATGAGCCCCTCCTGGGCAGTGTCCCCACAGCTGGGAGCATGTGGGCATGGGGAAACTCAGGACCTGACCCCATTGGAGCAGTTTGCACCTCTGGGGACAGTTGGAGATGCTGGCTTCATATCATCTGTGTGTCTCGGTTCCCAGGAGAGGGCGACATCTCCTTCCCACCAACCTACCGGTATGAGCGGGGCTCCCGGGACAACTACATGTGGCAGAAGTTCAAGACCACAGGGGTGAGTTCCTACATCACTGGGATGTGGACACAGATAGGGGATGGGGACAGTGGAACAGATCGTGCTAGACAGGGTGCTCAGCCTTCCCCTGGGGGGAGGTGAAGCTTTAGGGCCACTCTATACATTTTCTTGGTGGCGAGGAAGAAGCAGGCTAGGAGAAAACATCCTGACCCTAAGAGGACACCTATAGCGGTCGCTTTTCTCCTTCCTAGATGAGGATCAATGTCCCCTCGTGGTGTGACCGCATCCTCTGGAAGTCTCTCCCAGAGACCCACCTGGTCTGCAGCTCCTATGGTGAGTGGCACCTGGGGATGGGGCTGAGCCCCGTGCAGTCTCACGGCTCTGGCAGCCCATCAGCTGCCTCTCCCCATGCCAGGCTGCACTGATGACATCGTCACCAGTGACCACTCGCCCGTCTTTGCCACCTTTGAGGTGGGTGTGACGTCGCAGTTTGTGCCTAAGAAGGGTAAGGACAAGGGGATGGGGTCTGATCCCCACTGGGATTCGGCCCCCATTGAGAACCCCCATGTCCTGCAGCTCCTGGCACTGGCCCCGAGCCCCTGGCCTGCATCGAGTGGGACAGCATCGAGGTGATCGTCAAAACTGCCAGCCGCAGCAAGTGCTACATCGAGTTCCACTCCTACTGCCTGGAGGGTGAGGTGTCCTGCGGCTGCAGTGCTGAGCAGGGGAGCTCGGTGCCTGGCGTGGGGCTGGAGCTGTCCCCATGGCTCTCCCCTGGCAGAGGCACAGCGCAGTGGGGAGAACACCTCGCAGAACTGCGACGTCCCCGGCTTCCTGAGGATGTGCTGGTCAGCAAAGCAGCTGCCCGTGGTACGCACAGCACAGCGGGGAGGGCTCAGCATCCTCCCGCCTCCTCGTTCCCGTCCCTCCCCCCCTGCGTGCTGTGATCATCCCCCGAGGACAGAGGCTCTCCTTACCGCCCTGCCCCTCTCACTTCGTGCAGCTGAACCCCATCCTGCCCGACGTGGAGTACTTGGGTGACCAGCACCTGCTCCTCAGCATCAAGGGCGTGGAGAGCTGCGAGTCGTACGGTGCGCATGGGATGGGGACGCGGGCAGGGTGCTGCTGGGTGTGGGGCTCACCGTGCTTCGTGTGCAGGTGAGTGCTGCATCGCGATGCGATCCATGATCGGCAGCATGGCCCAGCAGTTTGAGACCTTCCTCTTCCACCATGGCGAGGAGACAGGCTCCATGCGGGGCCGGATGAAGGTCCGCGTCCCCAAGGACAGGCGCAGCACCCGCGAGAGGCTCTACGGTAAGGTGCCACCGTGCCACCCCACTGCTGCCATGTGCCCAAGTGGGGAGAAGTGACACTTCTGTGCTCTGCAGAGTGGATCAGCTTTGAGGAGGAGGAGGATGCTCCAGCAGAGGACTCCCCGCTGTGCCCCAAGCCGCTCCTCAGGTACCCCCTCAGGCTGGGGTCCATCCTCGTGCCCCATCCCCAGGTGACGCTGAGCCTGGTGATGCTGTGCCCTGCAGGAGCCGTCCCCGCAGCCTCCCAGAGGTGACCAGCAGCTACACCAACCCGGCCTACTTCATCTTTGAGGGACTACCTGCCACGTGGGCTTTGGGTGCTGACGCACAGAAGGACAGCCCCGTGCGGGGTCCCCCCCAGACACGGACCCCTTTGCCCTCACCCTGCAGGTCCCTGCTGAGCCCTCCTGGTGTGGGCAGGCAGAAGCGCCCCAAATCGGCCGTCCTGGCGAGGGATGTGCCGGAGGGTGGCGACTGCTCTCTGACAGTGCTGCACATGGCCACCGACCTGAGCCAGCTGGACTGCATGCTCCCCAGGGGTGAAGGGGATGGCCACCAAATGCTGCTGCACCAGAGCCACAGTGCCCCTCAGCCACCCTCACCACGCTGCCGGCGGGTGCCGGGGCATGGAGTGAGCGCTTACCAGCATGGCCACCACAGAGAGGTACAACCATGGGATGTGCTTTTGGCTAAGGGGCCACCCCCAGAAACAGGGCCACCCCCAGAAGCACCTACAAAGATGTCCCTTTGTAGAGACACCAATGGGGTGTGGATGGCTGAGGGGTGGCGGTGCTGGGGTGCACGGTTCATGCAGGGTGGGGACACAAAGGTGGGCATTTCTGCTGTCACGGGGCTGAAGCCTTCCCTTGTTTTTCTTTCCCCAGTGGTGCTGTGACAGGTCCTGCAGCGCTGGTGCTGGGCCAGGCCATGTTGGAGTGCAGCAGCGTGAGGAGGGGCTGTGTGCACATGGCTGGGACGGCACTGAAGTCTTCAGGTACCCCCCAGCCCTGGAGCTGGCAGCAGCAGGCATGGAGCAGGGCAGCACTGCTGTCCCCAGGGTCCCCAGTAGAGCCCTGCGCCTGGGGGAGGATGAGAGGTGAACCCCTCCATGCAGGGTACAGGAGACTGGGGAGACAGACCCACTGTGTGTCCCCAGATCTTCATGGACACCCAGGGGGTCCCCACTTATTGGCAAAAGGGTCTTTTGCTGTATGTGCAGGGATGGCACTGAGCAAGACGTGCTGGGAGCTGGGGTGCTCAGCCTTGCACATGTCCCTGCACCATGTAAAAGTGCATGGGAGCCCCTCGGGGAGCCAGCAGCACTGAGCCCACCCCAAACCCAACACCTAAACCTGCGCATGTGAGACTGGAGGTGTCCCATAGTTGTTCCCTTGCTGACACTGTTGGCATCTCACCTGACCGTGGCCAGCACCCTGATGTGGAGTAATTGACTGCTGTGCCTCTGCTGGGAAGTCTCATGAAGTTCCTATGGACGTCAGATGGATGCTCTCGGGGTGTCACTGTGTGTCTCCATGGCCCTCCCCAGAGCAATGCAAAGACCTTGCTGAGCCCTACCAGCAGAAGGGGGCACAGGACACATTGAGGCCCCTCAGGACAAAGGGACCGCTGGACTTTTGGTCCTTGAGGCCCTGCACACCCTGGCTGGGCAGTTCCCCAAGGAGCTCTGCAGCAGCTGCTCCTGAGGTTGCGTCCTTTGGGGTGCACTGCGCTGTTATCACCCAGAATAAAGTGTCAGGGTTTGGAGGACGCTGAAGTGTGCACGTACACACACTGAGGACAGACGTCTGCTCTGCCAAGCCACGGGGAGCCCGGGCACGCATCTGCGTGCTGCCGAACCGCAGGCTGCTGCTGCTGCCCGCTTTGGGGACACGATGCCCGGGCCGGCCTCAAGGTGGCAGTGGCCGCCTTTCTCCCCAGGAGAGCCTCGCAGGGCTGCGGTGCCACCCTGCCCCCGAAGGAGAAAGGCCGGAGTCCCCAGGGTTGAGGGCGCTTGGTCCCCAAGGGAGAAGAATGCTCTCACCCACGGGATCGCGGACGGTTCCCATCTGCAAGGCGCCGCGATCCCGTGGGTGAGAGCATATGGCGCCCACGGACAAATGGGACGCGGTGCCCGTGAGTGGCAGACCGCAGCCGTGGGGCTGAGGTCCCCAGTAACCGAGAGGGAAACACACACATCTCACATCTCGGGGGCTGCATCCAGTCCGAAGGCTGCACGGGCGCAGGGCAGGGCAGGACGGGAGCGCAGCAGCGCTGAGCCCCGCAGCGGCCCGCGGGGCAGGCAGGGACGCCGGCACGGCGCACAGCGAGCAGCGGGTTCCTGCCCCCGCCTCCGCCCACCTCCAGCCCTGCCTCTCCCAGGCACTTTGCTCCCAGCGTGGAAGAGCACGAACAGGCACGACGCGGGCCGGCCGGGCACGGCGGCATGGCCCTGGGCCCTATGGGGGACGGGTGTTCCCTGGGGGAGCCCCGCAGATGAGAGTCACCCCATCCCTGGAGCGGAGGTGAGGTGGGGGTCTTGGGGAGGGCAGCAGCTGGGATGGTCCCACTGTGATGTGAAGACTGTACAAAACCAGCCAGGCTTGGGGGTTCTGGAGATGCACCTTTGGCCCTGAGAAGATTGGCAGTGACATCCAGGGGGTGTAGGATTGGGATGGGGGGAGGGTGGGGTCAGTCCATCCCTAAATCTCTCCTTCCAATCACACCACTGCGAACCTCTACCACCAAAAACCTTTGTATGTCAAGGGGCAGCCACCTCCCCTCCTTCATCTTCCTCTGCAGCCCCCAAATGCCATCTCCTTTGAAGACAAGGCTGGCCCTCTGGCTGCTGCAGCTCTGCTCGGTGCTGCAAACTGGCGCGGTGGAAGGGCTGAACAGAACACTTGAGGATGAAAAGGCTGTCACCTTCATCCTGCTGACACCTGGGGGCACCTGGGCAGGCTGCAGTGGGGTACTGCACAGCCCCAGCACCACTGCCAGCCCCAGGAAGGACGGAGCTCGGGCAAGCAAAAGGGAGCTCAGAGAAATCAGGTCACGCTCCCCTGGTGCCAGGGCTTTGGCTGGGCTCACCACGTGGCGATTAGGGACAAGGGTCTTCTGCAGGATGTTTTGCACAATTCCCCCTTGTTTTGCAATTTCCAAGGGTTTAAGAGAGAAGAAAAGCCCTGTGTTTTCCCCGAGCCCCTTTGGCTCACCCAGCCAAGTTCCCCTCTGCAGTCTGTTCCTTGCCCCATCTTCAAAGGGCAGCACATGGTCCAGATTTGTGCCCTGAGGTTGTCCCCAGGCCCCTTCTCTCTCTGGCCATCATCCCTGTGTGCCACCAGCTGCACTCGCAGCAAGGGGAAATACTAGTCCCCACACCACAGCCCTGTGCATCCACAAAAGGGGCAGGGCAGAACTGAGCATCACTTCCCTGGCCCTGCGTCATCATCCCCTGCCAGCTCCCAGCTGGGCTCAGAGCCTCACCACTGCAGGTGGTCCATCCAGAAAAGTGCACAGAGAAAGCAGTGGCTGCAAGAGCCTCACTGGGGCCGTGCTTGAGGAACACAAACAGCAGTGACGTGTCCTCGGGGTGGATGGGCGTAAATCAGAGCCCTTTAAACCACTGCCTTTGATCGTGAGTAAGATGAGGAAGTAGGAAACCCCGAGTGCTGAGATCAAGATTGTCAGTTGTCATCTTCTTTTGCATTTTGGTTTGTCAGTGGTTTTCCTGAAGGCAGCTTGCTCAGGAGCAGCCAAATCACGCTGCCGCTTGCAGCCGGCCTCAGGTTTCACCTGTTTTATCACCTGCCCTCTGCCCTGAGCCATCCGGCACCGCGTTTTCTTTGTGCGTTTCTTACATCAGATGTCTTTTTTTTTTTTTTTTTTTTAATTGGATTATTCAGATCATCCTCGTTTGTCGGCAGCTTCGCAGAGATTGGCAGCGGTGGCCGCAACCTGAAACACCGCTGCTCTTACATGGCTTTGTGCTGTGCTGCTCTGCCATCCTCAGAGGGTGGGAGAGGAGAATGGACCCCCTGTTCCTGCTGCCCCCATTGGTATTCCCAGTCCCTACAAGGAGAGCAGAGCGAGGTCCCGCTGTTAATGTTTGATCAGGGCCTGCCTCTTGCTCTCTGAACTCATCCGGTCATTAAGCCGTTCACAGCAGGAAGGGGTGCTGGGTTTGGGCCCAAAGCTGAGCTCAGCCCAGAACTCAAACAAATTGCTGGGCTGCGAGCGGAGCTGGTGCCTGGTCCTGCTGCCATTCGTTACTTTATGATCATCTCTGCAAACAGTGGGGTGGCTTAACGGAGCCACGGATGTGCCCTGGGGAGAGCCCTGCCAGCTGTGCTCACTGCGAAGGAAAGCGGTAAAGGGGATGGGGGGACAGGAGCATGGGGTGGCACAGCTTTCTTCTCACCCCTCCCGAACCAGCATCCTGCATCACCTCCCTGAGCCGAGCTCTGCTCCATCCTGGTGCCCACCTGTAGATCAGCACTGCCTTCTGTGAGCCCTTCCCACCACCAGCAGCCCGCGCTGACTTTTAGCACAGGGGAGGCTTTTAGCGCAGCCAAACCCTGCCCAGGGTGGCTGCCCCGTGTCTGCTGGAGCAGCGGGTGCTGAACTTTAGACACCTCCAAAGGCGAGTGCAACCGTTTTACAGCTTGCCCTCGCTTTTCACCCCCGGGGACCAATTTGCTGGGACGATGAGAATCCCGGCCTTTGATCCGAACAATGTGCAAAGGGGGAAATGTCCCGATGGCTTCGAACTCGCGCTGTGTCGGGCTGGGGTTTGGCACGGGAGCAGCTCCTCTCTGTGCAGCTGAACTCATTGCTCTCCTGGGGAGGAGAGCCGGCAGCTGGAGGCCCCTCGCTCCCAGGAATGCCCTCCCAAAGGCTCCCCTAACAGCCCCCCGAGGATTTCTCAGGGCCATCGTACCCCTCCAGACAATCCTTTCTTCTCCTCCCGCCTTTCTTCTGGGGAGGACCCCTCTGGGACTGGCGGCATTGTCACGGCGGTGCCAATTAGGCTGAGCCGGCTTCCAAGAGGCTGCGCTGGCACCGTGCAGGAGCTGCTGTTGCTGATCAAGGTTTCATTGTTTGCTGCGCCGCGGGTCTGCTGGCTGGCCCTGGGCACCCTGCCCGGCTCCACGCGGTGTCACGGCGCGCTGCTCCGAGCTACGATCCGCGGGTGTCACTGGGAGGGCTCCGGAGGGGAGGATGTGTCAAGCCCAAACCCAAGAGCTGAGAAAAAACAGAGAAGCATCAAAGTGGCCGGAGCTCCTGGAGGGGGGGAAAATCTGGCATCTTTGGCCGCCTGCCCTGCTTTGTGCCTGACAATGGTCGGGATCAACAGCTAATGTGTTTTTATTAACTGCTCCCGCAGCTCTGGCTGGGAGAACATGGACGCTCCGGTGAGGATGTTCTCACTTGCCCCGTGGACGCCGACGCCGACCCCCTGGCTGGAAGGGAACACAACCGCTGCTGCGGAGGCAGAGTGCGTCTTCAACGAGGAGTTCAAGTTCATCCTGCTGCCCATCTCCTACGGCATCGTCTTCGTGGTGGGTCTGCCCCTCAATTCTTGGGCCGTTTGGATTTTTGTCTCCAGGATGAGGCCTTGGAATGCCACCACCACTTACATGTTCAACCTGGCTATCTCTGACACACTCTATGTCTTCTCCCTCCCAACCCTGGTCTACTATTACGCTGACCGCAACAACTGGCCCTTCGGGACAGTGCTCTGCAAGATCGTGCGCTTCCTCTTCTACGCCAACCTCTACAGCAGCATCCTCTTCCTGACGTGCATCAGCGTCCACCGCTACTTGGGCATCTGCCACCCCATCCGCTCCCTCAAGTGGGTGAAGACCAAACACGCGCGGCTCATCTGCGTGGGTGTCTGGCTGGTTGTCACCATCTGCCTCATCCCCAACCTCATCTTCGTCACCACCAGCTCCAAGGACAACACCACCCTTTGCCATGACACCACCAAACCCGAGGAGTTCGACAATTACGTGCACTACAGCTCCTCCGTCATGGCCCTCCTCTTCGGTATTCCCTTCCTGGTGATTGTTGTGTGCTACTGCCTGATGGCCAAGAGGCTCTGCAAGCGCAGCTTCCCCAGCCCCAGCCCCCGCATGCCCTCCTACAAGAAGCGCTCCATCAAGATGATCATCATCGTGCTCACCGTCTTCGCCATTTGCTTCGTGCCCTTCCACATCACCCGGACCCTCTACTACACCTCTCGCTACTTCCAAGCTGACTGCCAGACCCTCAACATCATCAACTTCACCTACAAGATCACGCGACCCCTGGCCAGCATCAACAGCTGCCTGGACCCCATTCTGTACTTCATGGCTGGGGACAAGTACCGGGGACGGCTGCGCCGGGGGGCAGCCCAGCGGCCCCAGCCTGTGCCCACTTCCCTGCTGGGCCTCGTGTCCCCCTCCGTGGACAGCAGTGTGGTTGGCAGTTGCTGCAAAAGTGAGAGTCGAGGGAGGGACAGCGAGGAGCAGAGGTGGGCAATGAGAAGTGAAGTGAGACACAGCACGGAAGCCCTGGTCCCACAAACCTGTCTGAAGCACTGACCATGGGTCTGAGGGAGGGTAGCCATGGGGTGCATCCCAGGTCACTAAGAAAACATTTGTCCCTCCCCAGGCATGCACAGAGTGCTTGACCATAGAGCACAGTGAACAGACTGACGTTAGGGACAGTAGAGGAGCAGCTCTGTGTCAGGTGGTGATACGTGGGGACAGCAGGAATGGCCACGGTCCTGGCCAGGGTCTCTACTGGGACTTTGTTTCACTCAGTCCAGTGCCGCCAGCACTGAGGGCTCAATCTCCTGCTGCAATGCCCTGCACTGTCCTCAGGGTGGGGACACTTGGGGGATGGGCATGGAGCCACATTTCAGAGATGTCCCCCAAAGCATCCTGGGGGAGGCGGTGAAGGGCGGTGCTGCTAATGGACCCCAATAAAGCACTTTTCCCTTTTCCACATGCTAAACTGGTCCTCCCTGTATCAGGAGGAAGAGGGAGGAGATATTCGTGGTGAGGGTACAGTAGCGAAGCCCCTTCATACTACGACATAATCTGGGGCAAGCCTGGGGCCATGGGATGGGGAGGGTGGCACCGGGATGACAAGAGATGGGTGGTGAAGGCCTGTAGGAGAATCTGCCTTTATGGGTGTTTCCTCTGTAAATATTTACCCAGTTATGTTTAACTGTGGATCTGCGTAAAGACAAGCAGCCTGGAGATGCTTATCAGCTGCATCTCGCGTCAGCCCCTACATGGGGCCATCCCTGCCCCTCAGTGCACACCCAGCCCATGCCTGGGGAAGGAGATCCAGAGCACTGGCACTGTGTCGCCATTACTTGCAGTGCCACCAAACCCCATCCACCCACCCCCATGCTGTGCCCCGATCGATCGAGCACCCCAAAGCACACTCAGGACACAGTGAGGGGATGGAAATTTGTATGACAGATATCACCCAACAACCACGTCGAGGCCACTGTCACCAGTTCCTGTGTCTGAGTGTCCCTCCCCTTGCTCCAAGGGGGGAACACCTCCCCTGCCCGGTCTTGGGGATGCAAATCTACGACCTCCCTCCTCTTCCTCACGACACCCTACGCCCTCCCTCTGCTCATGGTCACTGTATGGGGCCGTGCCCATCACTGCAATCCTGGAGGTGGCACCTCTGGGGCCTCCACCAGCCTTTGGGTGCCAGGAGAGGAAGAGGAGGAGGGGGAGCGGCAGGGCCTCGTCAGCCACGTGTCCCCGTGCTCACAGCACTCACACGATGCGCAGCTCATCCCCTTCTGACAGCCCGTACTTGGTCTTGTTGTCATTGAAGAGCTTGAGCAGGGAGCGCACGTACATGCCGTGGTACAGATCCACCACCTCGCTGCTCGGCTCCTCGATCTTGGGCACCGTCACCGGCTCCCCCACTGCGGGAAGGGAAGCCATCACAGGGCAGCACTGAGCTTGGTGGGACGTGAACCGAGTTTCACCTCCCGGCGTCAAATAGACACCCTCCTCCTCCCCTTGTAGCCGCTCACCCACGGTGGTGATGGGCCGGGCGTAGGGCAGGAAGCCCCGCGAGCGCACGGAGGTGAGGCCACGGCCATAGAAAACGCAGGGAGCAAAACCCATCATCTTCTGGAAGCGCTGCTGCACGGCCCGCATCCAGCTGCCCTCCTCAAACACCACCTGGCGGAACAGCTCGTTCTCTCCGAAGGAGAAGGAGGGCACGAGGAAGGCGCTGCAGGGGCACACGGTGGCATTGAGGGGGTGTGCTGGGACCCCGTGCCCCTCACCCGGTGCCCTCCCAGTGCTCCCACACTCACCCGTGCTGCAGGGCCATGCGGACGAAGCCTTTACGGTTCTTCAGGATGAGCGTGGTGACGCCGGGGCTGCAGGAGAGGGACTCAGCTGCTCCTCCAATGACGATGGCCACGGCGTTGCCGGTGCCGTTGTTGGAGAGCAGGTGGCTGATGGCACGGCGTGTCACTGGGCACAGGCCTATGGCAGGAGAAATGCAGTCTGTAGGGTGGGGGGAAACTGTGCAAAGGACCCCGCTAGGGATCGTGTCTGGAAGGGACAGAATGGGGACAGCAGGGCTGCAGGTGGGATGTGAGCACAGAGCGCAGAGTGAAATAGTGCAAAAAAGGTGCACATGGGGTGCAGGCAGGGTGTGCACGGGTGCAAGCAAGACGTGTAGGGGTTCAAAAGAATGCAAAAATCTGGGCACGGGTGCAAGCAGGGTGTGCAGAGCATGCAAACAAGGTGCTCACAGGTGTGCACAGGGTGTGCATAAGGTGCAGACATCACAGATCAGGAGCACACAGGATGTGAACAGGATGTGAGCGAGGTTTGCAGATGGTGCAAACAACGCAAGAGGAGGTAAGCATAGGATGCACGCAGGTGCAATCAGAATGCAACCAAGATGTCAGAGGATGTAAACACTGCAAAAAAGATACGTGCAGGATGCAAACAAGATGCACAAAGGTTGCAGGCAAAGCGTGCACAGGTGCAGGTAGTCTCAGCCCATGCCCTGCCCGCTCCTTGGGAGCGCAGCCACTGGGCACAGCTGGGGACCAGAGGTCATGGCTGGAAGCAGGGATGCAGGCACCGGACCCCCACCCCGACCCCACACCACTCACCCCCACTCATGAGGTACTCCCTGAAGAGGGGCAGGCGGAAGTTGCCAGCCAGTGTGGTGAGGAAGGGCCGGATGCCTGGGAACAGCTCAGAGAAGCCGGTGGAGCCGGTGATGAAGTTGCAGAAGGCGCCGACGCAGAGGATGCCATGGGGGTGGGAACCAATGATGTAGTTGTGGCCGGGGGACAGGTCGTGTGTCTTCACCAACTGCAGGGACAGAGGGCTGTGGGCACAGAGGGGACTGACAGGGCTCTGTGGTAGCACTGTGTGCTGCAGGCAAGGACTTGGGGACACCTGGAATAGCAGCACTGCTCCCGTCTGGTTCATGGTCATGGGAACTGCTTAGAGAGCACGGCGGATCCTTTGGGATGGTGCCACAGCTGTTTGTGTTATCACCCCCACACCATACCCTGCTCCTCACCTTCACAGGAAAATAATCCCGAAAATGCCTCCACACAGACCACCTCCTCAAGCATGGCAGCCTCCTGCCGCCTGCAAGTGAGACAGGAATGGAGTCATGAGAGCCCATCCCAGCAGACAGAGGGCTGTATCCCTCTTGCTGCCATTTGTAGGTAGAAGGAGGAAGATGTGGCATTGCTTTGGGCAGACCCAGAGAAATGGAGTGTCCATAGGGTGCCCCATCCCATCCCATCCCATCCCATCCCATCCCATCCCATCCCATCC